CTTGATCCAATCTGCTCTATTGTATGTGACAGTAATGGTACAAAGAAAAGATCAATATAAGCACTAAAATATTTTTTTTTTTTGTGGTTGTTGAGAATGTGTTGTTAGAAAAAATTTTCATCTTACAAATGCTAGTCAGATTGTAAGTATTCAGTCAGTTATCAAAAGATAATCTCTGCTTTTATTTAAAAGAAATCCATGATACATTGTTAAATTTGATTTCTATGCTCATTTTATGTATTCTATGAGAGATAACATTTATATATAATTACCATTTAGAAAGTTTATGTCTTATTGTGGTATGATTAAGATTATAGTTATTTGCCTTATTCTCCAACTACAAGTAAGCTAAAAATTGCTGTTTGAATCCAGAAAACTTCAGAAAATGAGACCAATAACCCCCAACTATTCAGTGCTGATGTAGAAAAAACACTCTTTTGACAAATATACCTCACCAAAGGACCCATCAAAACTGATAAGCAAAGACATATGCCAATGTTAATTTCTGGATTATAATTTTTTGCATATTTTTATGCTATAAAAATATTATTTCTGTAGATGGGATGCAAATTGCAGTCATAGTTCTGACAGTGATTTGCACCACCTAATAGTAAATTTCAAAATCTAAAAATGACCCAACTGAAAAATGAATGTGCTATCTGTCAAGTAAATTTCAATAATTATAAAAAATAAATATTTATTTATATATACAATTTTATTTTATTGTACTTTTTGTGTTGTTAGTGGCTGCATACCATATCTTTCTCCTCTATTTTCCACTGTAGAATATTTATAAAATACAAACTATCTGGTAACTCTAATATATAACAGCTAGCTTTATTATAAGTTATATGAGACTACACATATGGAAAGATTGCAAATCTCCGCAACTAAAACTTCATTTGCAGTGAAATTTATCAACTGTATTGTTTCCATAGAAACAGGTGGATCTTATACATGAAAGAAAGAGGATAGCCAATGAAAATCTTGAAATACAAACATTTTTTCCCCACAAGGAGGAGAATTTGGTATTTTTTCATAAATAAATGAAACTGATTCCAATTTTGAATGCTTCATTTACATTTCTTGAAATTCCATCATATAAATTATAAAAATCTAAATTAGAAATGAATACTATTTTATAGAAATACTAATTGTGTCATTTTTAAGATATTTTAAATCAATCTCGATTATGATATAGTATGTTTGTATAAATGCATACATTTTTATATCATCCATATGTGGTATATGAAATGTAATCAATATACTATACATTATACTGTATCTTTATTTTGTAGTATTTAAATTTTTTATAATTAAAATAAAGTAAACAATAGAAAATACATCAAACATAAAAAAAGTGGTTTTAGGACTAGACAGAAGTAGTACTGCTAAGGACCCTTATTTCCTCATGTTATATGTATTTGATTGCTTCTTAATGGATGCATTTATCTCAATTGATAAACTCTTAAGTGTCTTAAATATTTAAGATTTATTTTGAAGTTTAACTTAAAAATAAGCTTTTATTTTTAAATTATAGTACAATCTCGATAATCAGACTGTTTGTTAGTATGACATGTCCCAGTAATCCAACCCTAGCCAACTCTTTACTAGCACTGTTACTAAGTCATAGATAAGCTTCACACCAAACGTGGCATGATTTTGAGCATGAACTTGAATACTTGAATCTGGGTACAATATTGTTACACTCATCCTCATAGGCTGCTTAAATTGATTGCTCTCTTTTCATAACTTTCTTACTATTCTACACATTTTTGATTAATATGTAGTAACATTATTCAAATAATCAAATACAGTTAAACCAGTCTATCTCAAATGTTTATCTTAAAAACCTCATCTTGAAATTTGTCTTTTCTCCTTCATTTTTTGCCTAAATTTAATATATCTTCCATCTTTAACTCAAGTAATTTTCTCCCAAACTTTTATCTCAAATTATAGACTGAAGTGTCAATTACAATTTCAAAGCCCAGCAACTGCTACATTTTGATAGCATGAATTGTAGTCAAGAAAAATCTCTTGCAATACACACATAGTAGCAATTAACACTGCTTTTCTGATTGGCTACAAGTTGAGCTTACATTTTATTGGTTAAAAAAAGTCAGGCATCAGAAACTACAGTAGAACTTCGATTATCCAGACCTCTATCATCCGGATTGTTCAAAATAAACAAAAATTTTACGAATTTGCTGATTTGCACTTGGCGAATTACGATACTGTTTATGTATGTGATGGAATGCATAACTTTTTCAACAACGTCTTACCTGGAACAATGCCATAAACTCTTAAATATATTTTGCGTCGTAATAAAAATATAACTTGACATACGTATTTAAAAATATTTTATATTCAAATTACATCATTTCTATGACCAAGGGCAGTGTAAGGCATGGGCAACGTGGGCCTATGCCTCACGGTCCGAAGGGCCTCGCGTTTCGAAGGTTTATGCATTACTTAAAAGCCGCGAACGCAACGAAAAAATTTTACTCGTCATAAAACGATAAATAGTTTGTCAAATTTTTATTCATAAAAATGCAGTTTCAACTGCTTTTTATTTTATAAAATCCGTCTTCTTACGCCACCAAAGGACCTTTTAAATAGGTACAATAGGTAGTCTGTTAGCGTTGGTCAGTAGTAGTCCAAATTCAATACAAACATTTGTTTCTTGAAAATTTGATCACAATTTAAATACAGTATTTATTTTTAATATTACCAATACATCATTGAAAAGAAAACATGCTGTATTATCATTAAAAGACAAAGTATTTGTTTCAATTATTCAAATTTTTCCTTATCCGGACTATCTTCATCCCCAATTAGTCCGGATAATCGAGGTTATACTGTACTAGCTTTTGCCCGCGGCTTCGCTCGCGTTAAGAAGTAATATTATTAATTAGGTATAGTTTTTGAGGCTTTACTTTTGTTTAGCGTGTGTAAAAAATTAGGGCCTACAAAACTTCTTTGTACACAATATTCTTAACTAATCTGTCATTAGGCGCTAAAACTATCAAGCTATTGGGTGAACTTACTCGTGAGCAAGCAACATAAAACTGTCCATGAGAGAAGCAAATGCAATCCAAAATATGCCAAGAAAAGAACAGCCAAAATCGTCAAATATAATCCGCTAGAAATATTTAGGTATAGTATGTACTATTAGATACTGCGGCCACTCATCATCGGGTATATGTAACTCAGTGAAAACACAACGATAGCGCGTTTTAAAATACTACTACGCCATCTATTGTCAACATTTAGAACTAAAAATTATTTTGTTCGTCTTAATTTATTCGTTCCATTAGGTACTGATAGGTTCAAACTAATGCATTTACATCCTCCATCATTCCTTATTTTATCCCCATGGGGGTTGAATTTATCAAAATCCTATTTAAGCGGACGTCTTCATCATAGTAGCTCCAATCTTTAATTTCAGTTCAATCAGTCGAAAATCTAAGAAGATTTATACAAACTTTCATCCCCTATTTTAGCCCCTTAGGGGTGGAATTTATCAAAATCCTTTCTTAGGGGATGCCTACGTCATAGTAGCTTTATGCATGCAAAGTCTCAGCCTGATGGGTTTAAAATTGACAAAGTTTCATACAAACTTTCATCCCCTATTTTATCCCCTTGGGGGTAGAATTGATCAAAATCCTTTCTTAGCGGATGCCTACGTCATAACATCTATCTGCATGCCAAACTTCAGCCCGATCCGTCCAGCGGTTTGGTCTGTGCGTTGATAGATCACTAAGTCAGTCAGTCACCTTTGAGTTTTATATATTTAGATTGACAAACTATTTGTTAAGATATGTCAAAAGTGTTTTATTTATATCTAATACAGGTATTTTATATACATGCTATTGTATTAATAAAATTCTGTATCTCCAATCAAATCTATTACTATTTAGGAACTTTTATCTCAAAACCCATCTATCTCATATTTTTTCTTGTCCCTGTGAGATTTGAGATACAGGTTCAACTATTTTCTTTCCAAATGATTATACAATTGAATTCATTTTACATCCAATAATCCAGCAATCTCCTTAATTCAACACTGTTCCAGTTCCATTTACATTGGATTACAAATATTGTATTATATTCTCAGAAATCATACTTTACTTATTAGTTTAATAAGAATCATCTCAAATAACAAAAGATATTTTAAAAATTAATTACATATAAAATTTTTGTGCTTTGTAAAGTTTCATGTAAAAAATGAATGTGTTAAAAGAAATTATTTAACTGTCAACAATCACTTCTATAGATACACATTATAAAATTTCAAAAAATCATTTCAGAAAAATATGTTTTTGAATCAATTTCAAATATCACTTACTTAAAATTTTCCATAATTTAATTATAGAACGTTTAAAAAGCATTTTGTACGCTGACAAAACTTAACACAAAAGTAAATAAATTCAAAGACGTTTCTGTACTGTACACATAAGCATTGTTATTGATTGAATACTAAAAATGGCTAAGAGATATGTAAACACACAAAAGTGCTGTGTTATAATTGTTTCATTTGAACGACAGAAATTAATAAAATATCTAATTTCACCAGTCAAATGTTAAACATGAAAATTTTGAATAAATAAACCTATTTATTTAACAAAATTAAACATCTCTTTGCGTATACGGCCGAGTAATATAATCAACATGTCGCTATGTTATGCAATATTTTTCTTGGATCCAAATCAGTTATAAGGAGAAGTTAAAGGTAAAAAGTAACTCTGTATACTTGTGTAAACAGAGGTAACTTCTACCTTAAATTCTTCAATAAAATAAAACGAGGGTTTATATACGTTTAAATGTAGTTAAATATGTTTAAATTATTTGATTATAGAAGCTTTTATCACACATTTGAGGGATATTTCATCACACATACTTTCTCATAATAATGAGTCATCAAAATGAAACAGGATTTGTGAAAAATATACATAAAAGATAATGGTGAAAATTTTATAATGAAAATAATGAATACTTACAATAAAAAACTCATATTTTTCACACTTCTATAACCTTATAAAGTCCTTTGAATAACTTGTTAAAATATAACAAAATTATTTCCTTTACAAATTGGAGCAGAATTTCAAATACAAAAACGATAGAAAGTGGAATGATAACTTCCCCATCTCGCATACAACTATTAAAATGGCCGCTAATGAAAGTTATTTTCACTTTCTTTTGAAAAAGTATATAAATCTAATATAATATTATTACCTTTCGTTCGATTTATATAAATAATAACTATTACTAATTTCATTCGATTCGAAATTTATAATTTTTTTTTCAAAATAAAATTTTAAATAGTAATTTAATTTTATTAATATTTATATATTTGATTAAAACAATTTTTCGCATTAAAAAATGGTATTAATTATTTTTACGTTGGAAAAATATTATAATATTATTTTTTATTTATTAGGGAAGATTGCTGGCAACACTGCTTTTGATTGATCACCTCCGAATTTTGCTTTTGTTCGTGTTAGGCCTTGCTTATTTTATGTAAATTTAATAAATCCTTGACAGATATAAACTCTTTCCTTTGATCGGATGTAAGTAATAACGGTTTTAGTTATTAATTTTATAGAACAATTTATATATTGTATATTTATGACGTAATTTTGTTAATATTCGGTATGACGCATTTGTCGAACTGAGTCCCTCCCGAGAATTTTCAGAACGGTTGAATTTTCCCTCTTTTAATGATTTAAACGTTATCTGATTAAATTTAGGGCTTTTTTTCTTTCTTTTTTTTTAAACTCTAGATCGGATCTTTATAGTGAAAATTTCAAAATTATAAAATTTAAGTTTTAGCTTTGTGTTTCATAATGGCGCTGGTTTACTTTATTGACTTATTGTATTCATAATTTAATACATTGTACGAAATTAACAAGTAATTTCCACGTGTTTATCAATTACACATTTAAATCCAATTACAGCTGATAATATTTTAATGAAAACATAATTATGATTATATGTATCAAAACAAAAAATATGCAATTAGTTTATTTTATTAGCTAAATAATTGAGTAAACTGTTAGTTTTTATAATAGATGAGTTATATGAAATACTTTGAGATGTTTTAAAACTCTCGTTCTTATTTTGCAGTATTTTAAAATCTGATGATAAAGGAAATATCCTAAATTTATATTTATTTAAGCATATTAAAAAGAGAGGTCAACTAGTTGCCAAGCAATTCTGTTCCCTGAACACTGGTAGTTTGGTCATGGGTTCACACTTTGCTGGGATGGGCTGGCCATATGGAGTTTTCCAGGTTTTCTCCACATATAATGCCTGAATAGGGGTCAGTTACCCTTAAAAAGACCTCCAGGAAGGCATCACCCTAGGCAGATTGCCCAAATGTTACATTGCTATAGCTTAACAAAACAAACAATTAAAAAAGAGAAAGAGATAAGGAGACAACAGCTATTATATGAAGTTTAGGTATACCAAAGTTTAATATTAAAGATATTAAATTTTCTATTTTTATGAATTTTTCTCTTAAGTTCTATAATTCTATTTTGTGGTGGTGTTGGATTAAAATAATTGAATGTTTCTAAAAGAATACATATTTTGATTTCCTGAATGTAGCAATTACTTTCAAGATTTCAGAATGGGGGGTAAAACTATAGAAGCTTACCAGGTACTTTCTGGTTAGCAGGGTGCCAGTCAATTGATGTGATCCGACTTGTGTGTATTAGGTTGATAATTGGTTCAAAGAGGATTTCCGAAATGGGTAGGTTTAGGTTAGAGTTAGATCTCATCAATTGACTGGTGCCCTGCTAACCGATAAGTAGTGCTTACCAATATAGCTTGTGGTTTTTTATATGTATATATAGACATATTTCATAGTCTTTTCCAATATACAGAATTTTTTGGGATGGCACATATAAAAAGTGCTATTTAAAAAAATCTTAGGACTACTAACTGAATTTGCACCATTTGAGGCACCTTTGCTTAATTAAGCTTGTTTCTGCTTGTGAGCAGCACATTGAGGGTCAGATGCAAACAAAACATGTCACTTGACCTCATTTCAATGTCACACCATCGTGTGACTTATTAGTCACATGATATCTGACATATTTCATGAGAACTTTCTTCTTGTGAAAGACTTTGTTCTTTCAGGCTGAACTATGAAGGCCCATGTGATAGAGCAGTAATGTCATATTTTCTAACATGATTAATTAATGGAATCTTTGGTTTGGTTCAGTAGATCATGTGATGCCTCCAAAGTTTAGCCTGAAAGAATGAAGTCTTTCACGACAAGAAAGTTCTCAAGAAATATATCAGAGATAATATAAATAACACCTTTAACTATCCAGCAATAAAAATTTTTAATATAACAAAAACGTTTTCAATCATTCTTAAACAGCCATCTTCAGTTGAACCAATATTAAAAAAAGAACGTATGAAATACAAATTAAACAGAAACCGAAATGCGCATGGCTGTTTAAGAACAGTTGAAGACGTTTTTGTCGTATTAAACATTTTTATTGCTGGATAGTTAAAGGTGTTATACTGGAATAAATGTAAATAATATAAATAAGTTCTTGTTTTTATTTATTTACATCAGAGATGTCACATGACCGTATTTGTGACATGTTTTGTATGCATCTGCCACACAATATGCTGTTCCACAACAAAAACAAGCTTAAGCAAAGGCACATCAAATGGTACAAATTCGGTAAGTAGTCTTATGATTTTTTTTTAATAGCTTTTTATATGGGTCACTCCAAAAAATTTTGTTTTGGAAATGAATATCAAGTATGTCGTTTTCTTTTATTTATTTTTTCAAAAAAATTTAATGGNGCAAAGGCACATCAAATGGTACAAATTCGGTAAGTAGTCTTATGATTTTTTTTTAATAGCTTTTTATATGGGTCACTCCAAAAAATTTTGTTTTGGAAATGAATATCAAGTATGTCGTTTTCTTTTATTTATTTTTTCAAAAAAATTTAATGGTAAGCTTCTATAGTTTTACCAAATATAGTATCAAGGTTTACACAATTGAAAAAAAAATTAATTTGTAAAGAAAATTATTCTAGTTCTTGGTAGAATATATAATAAAATTTCAGTTCGGAATGTAGGATTTGGACCGTCCAACTTTAGACTCTTTCTAGACAACCAAAATAGTGACAAGAATCGCGTATCTAATTGTGATCTTCACAAGATTCATCTTCAAATGTATCTGTTTGTTGAACATATGATAGGCTTAACAGCATGTGCAGCATGATACCAATTGTACCCTATCTGTACAATTGCATTTCTCATGTTTTATGAGGTTTTAGTTGTCTCTGGGTATGTTCATAAAGTTGAACAAGTTAAACGTGTTAGGCTAGGACTCCACTACTGTAAAAACGGCGTAAAAACCCCTCGCTGTAAAAGCTTTTAATCACGTGACTCTGATATCTTACGCTTGAGCAGGCCGTAAAACCAGCGTAAAAGCGAGTTGAGCTATGTTCAACTTTCGACGCGAGTACGGCCGTAAAGACGTACCTTCCACCAATCAGAAGTCAGTGAAATCTAGGTCATCGCGACACGGAGCTAAAATGGCGGAAAACGAGCTTTTGTGTACGTTCCCTCATGGGTACTCTAGAATAGATCCGGAAAGATTTATCGAAAACATCTGAAAGTATTCGTGTATCTATGACAAGAGGTAACCTGATTATAATAATGGATACCAAAGGAAATCCTTCAATTTAGAGGCGTATATAATAAAAAAGCTAAGCTTATAAGTGCTGTATATTATCTTAATAATACAATAATAAAAGTTAGTATATGAAAGTAAAGATATTAATTTTACTACATTTGTAATTATAGTAGAGAAAAAACTCGTAAAATATAATCATTGTCTTTATATTGATACATCATGTATACAACCGTCTTTCGTTTCTACCAATTCACGTGCGAAGAAGTATTTACTTTCGACACTTGGGGCAGCACCATTGCCGTAAAAACTTTGCGCTAGCAGGATCTCCACCGTAATCCGAGTGCAAACGCAAATAGGTCACGTGATTAAAAGCTTTTACAGCGAAGGGTTTTTACGGTAGTGGAGTCCTAGCCTTAGTAATGAATCGTTTGAAAAGTAGTAGTCTCAATGCGTATGCTCTGCGATGATGACGTTCTGAACAAAACTCTAACGAAGTTCACAAAGGAAAGAGTCTTCATTAAGAAATTGGTGCCTGACAATATCGATGTTTCTAAATCTACTCGTGTGTTTAAATTGTGAATTAAAAGGTGAAATGATAGAAATAACTGTCTATCCAAAGTAATCTATGAAAAATAATTTAGATAAGGCTGCACTAGCAACATTCATATCTTCGATTTTAGAAACAGCCATTTAGTTATAAAAGAATCGTTCGAAAAGTCTAACGAAATAAGAATAATGCTGACGTTATTTTCATTTAACTCGTTTGACTTTATGAACGTACCCTCTAGTAAAGTGGGAAAACAGTTGACTTTTAACATTGTTTTGAGAAATACAGTAGAATCTCGATTATCCGGATTATTCAAAATAAACAAAAATTTTACGAATTTGCTGATTTGCACTTGGCAAATTACGATACTGTATGTACGTGATGGAATGCATAACTTTTTTTGTTTCAACGTCTCACCCAGCACAGTGGCCGTAAACTCTTAAATATATTTTGTGTCGTAATAAAAATATAACTTGACATACGTATTTATAAATAATTTTATTTTCAAATTACATCATTTCTATGACCAAGGGCAGCGTGGGCCATCGCCTATGCCTCGCGGTCTAAAGGGCCTCACGTTTCGAAGGTTTATCCATTACTTAAAAGCCGTGAACGCAACGAAAAAATTTTACTTGTCATAAAACAATAAATAGTTTGTCAAATTTTTATTCGTAAAAATGCAGTTTCAACTGCTTTTTATTTTATACAATCCATTTTCTTGCGCCACCAGAGGGCCTTTTAAGCAATAGGTAGTCTGTTAGCGTTGGTTAGTAGTAGTCCCAAATTCAATACGAACGTTTGTTTTTTGAAAATTTGATTACGATTTAAATACAGTATTTACTTTTAATATTACCGATATGTCATCGAAAAGAAAATGTGTTGTATTATCATTAAAAGACAAATTAAAGTATTTGTTTCAATTATCCGAATTTTTTCTTATCCGGACTACCTTCATCCCCAATTAGTCCGGATAATCGAGGTTCTACTGTAGTTATGGATTTTTTCATTTTTAAATTTTGTCCTATTTTTAAGGGTCTTCAAAATTCCAGATAGACTGATTTTGGGGCTATATCTCAAAGGGTCTATATATACCATCAGTTCCTTTGACTTTTTTTTTACTACTATGAGTGTGGTCTACAGCTCTGATGAGCTGTGTTTTTTCTGAATATATTCCTATTTACTTCATAATTCTAACAAATTAGTCACTATAGTTAACTTTATAAAATGAATATAACAATGGGCAAGGTTGAAGAAATGCTAATATTTTTGATCCAGTTAACAAGTTAACTTCAGACATGAGCAGATGTAAGAGGTATTCTCTTATGTCTGTTTATAGGTGAGGACTGCTCTTTAAC